TTTTTTATAATCATGTGCATGGTACATCACCAAAAATGATTTGGTAATTAATGATTAGGCATATACAACTCTACTGTTATAGCAGAATCAGTACATTTATTTTTAAAACTATAGAAATTCTCCCTCAGTAATATTAACCACAATCAAATATTTTTATTCTCCATAGTTTCTCCCATCTCAACCTGTTTAGTGTACATAATTCAATCTATTCTCCCAGGCCTCACTTATCTACACAAAGCTACAGCATTTCTGGAATCCTGTTCATTACTTAACTTTTTTACTATCACCTCCACAACATGTTTCACTACAGCCTGAGTCATCTAACTCTTCCATCTTCTAGAACAGTGGCATTTTTTCAATCCTCACACAAGGATATGTTTTATTGATTTCGGAGAGAAAGAAAAGGAGAGGAAGAAAGAGGGGAAGAGAGAGAGAAACATCCATCAGTTGCCTCCAGTGTGCACCTCAACTAACAATCAAACATGCAACCCAGGTATGTACTCTGGCAGGGAAATAAACCCATAACCTTTTGGTGTATGGCATGATGCTCCAACCAACTGAGCCACCTGGCCAAGGCTAGAACAGTGGCTTTTAAACTTTACTTTCACAAGTAGTATCACCTAACGCACTTGTAAGAAAAAATATATAAAAAATAACATTTCATCTTGTGTCTTTTCCAATTCTGATTCAATATAGTCAATATAGAAAGGGGCCCAGGAATCAGCAGTTTAAATCAAGTTCCCCTCAAAACACACACACACACACACACACACACACACACACACACGAGAATGTAATGACCCTTCAGAGCCACAGGAAGAAAATTGTATATTGCCCCTCTGTTGGGATGCCACATTTACTATATGGATGTTTCCAAAGATGTTCTGTATCAGATTTTATTATCTTAGGCTAGAATTTATTTTTACTCCAAACTGTAGGAGTGAATCATTGAACCCTCTTCTAAATTATGCATTTTCAGGTTATTTTGACCCCTAAAGCTATGAGCATATATATATTCAAGGTGAATTTTCAGACTCAAAATTGAAAGAAAAAATAGTTTTTGCCTGCTGATTTTGAAGCATATCAGCTGATGTAAAATAAAGCAATAAAAATACTCATGGAAACTAAGGACAATGCCAAACAAATTCATATTGCAATTAAAATTTTGATTTGTTCAACATAAGATAACAAAATGTGTTATTTTATAACATATAATTTTTACTCATAAAAGAAAAACTATTGTAATGATCCTGATGTGGATATTTTCCAGACAAACAACAAATTGGCCTATACCATTAACATCTTGGTAACAAAGAACTTTCCAACCACATTTCTCATGTACTCTATCTCAAGTGGAACTTGCTACCACAGTCCCTTTAGCCTACCCTGGTTCCACGTGCTTCCTTTCTCACTTCTGTTTCCTCACTTTAGCATGGTTGAAATATGATTATTCTTTAAGGCCCAGCAACACTGCTATCTACCCCATTATATCTCCTATATCCCTTCAGCAAAAAACAGCCAATCCTCCCAACTTCCTCTGGCACTTCCTGTCTGCTCTGACATGAGTAATTAGATTTATCTTTAACTATAATTACCTTAATTCACAGATACTGATTTTTTTACAATAAAGTCAGAGACAAAGACTTATCTTTGTATTAACTACATAGTACCTAGAACAGGCAAATATTCTAATGTTTGTAGTAAATGAACCAGTGAAGAAAGAAAGCATATTAAAATACTTCAGTAACTGGCAGCTTCTCTAACTAGATATAAGAGGGGACATAATAAGAAAACATTCTTTAAAAACATTGTAATAAGAACAAATAAATATTTGAATTGTTTTAAACAAATTATCTCAAGCTCAACACTATTAACCTTTTAAGGCAAATAATTCGTTGTTAAGGGGAATATCCTCTGCATTTTAAGATGTTTAGCAAGTATTCTGGGCTTTTATTCACTAGATACCAGTCACAGCTGGTTTTCCCTCAGATGTGACACCCAAAAAAATGTCTTCAGACATTGTCAAATGACCCCTTGGCTGACAAAAGCACCCCTGGTTGAGAACAACTATTTTAAAGTGAAACTATTTTCTCGGACTACACAAGAAAAAGCCAGAGAATACTAACAGAGAATAAAGAAAAAGGCCCAGATATAATGGAAAAACTCTAATAGGAAGAATAACATCTGTGACATAGGAAAAGAATACAGTGCAGTCTCACATTTATAGGGAGGAAAGGAAAGATGACATAAAACTTGATGAGCAACTGTATGATTTTCAATTGAGAAAAAATGTAGATGCCAAAACCCATACCTGAAAATCATATTTCTGAACAAGTTTTCAAATACTTGCTTAAGTTTTGAGAATTTAGGAAGAAATAGGTCATCACTAGATTATACAAATTGTGCCATACAGACCTCATAAATTTTATGATCATAAATTAGAAAATTCTGAATTATATTGCAAGAAATTAGATAAAATCTGGCACAATACCCTTTTAAATGGGTTGGGGCAGAAACTGAAGGGCCAATACTCCTGGGAAAAAAACACCCCAGTCTTTCTTTAGGAATAAGTATGCAGCCAATAAACTAAGAAAACTTTCCATCTCCATGACTGTGTAACTGAAAGGACTATATAATATTCAGGTCAAGCTTTCTCTTCTCATTGATGAAACTCATGGGGAAGAGTTCTCAGTAGAGCAGTCTGATGATCGTAGAGAAATGGAAACCCATTCAGCAAAAGGACATACCACAGGAAGCTAAAACCAGGGATACAGATTTACTACTTGACTGAAAGCTTCAAGAGGACAGAAATAGCACCTGATTAGCTATTATTTATCACGCACATAGTAGCTCCATAATTACTACTGAATGAATGACTGTCATCAATCTAATTTAATTCTATTTATCTGTGAAGGTAAAATAGTGGCCTTCAACTGGAGGAACCAGGAGGCTCAACTATACTTATTATTCAGCTGCAAGTTTGAAACCCATAAGACAAGTTGAGAAGGGGCTTTCGGGCTGCTACTGCTATTGAGGTTACTTGTGTATGAGCCACTGTTATCTTCCAAAGATGCTAACTTGGTGCTCTCCCAGCAGTGAGAATGTATTAAACATGATTTGCTCCTTCCACACATGCTACAACCTTACTGTGGAAAGAAGGGATGACTGTCCTTCCTTCTTTGATATTGAAGAGAGGAAGACTCAAGAACAAACATCCATAACTAAACAGTGCAGTCTGTAGCACTCTCTGAGGGTCATGTTTAGGTGTCCTCACATTTCAGACAGAGGAAGGGGGTGGGAAGCCTAGCATAACAATCAATATAAAATTACAGTTTCATGATAAGAAATGCTGTCAATATGGTAATGACTTGTTTAAACATTTATTAAATCACTTCACAACAAATAGTAACACATGAAGTGTTATCCTCACATTTCACAGCGACATCACTACTAAGCAGAAGAATATGTTAGCCAAACTGTTTTAAAATCATCAATATATTATTCAGTTAATATTGAGTGGTTTAATTATTCTTGCCTGTTTACAAGAAACCTTTTTACAAACAAATTTAGCAACCTAATGCAATCATGGATGTATTATTATTGGTGAGAAGATCAATGTCTAAAATCAGGAAATCCATATTAGCATATTCACAACACAATAATTTTTAAGTTCTCTATGCACTTTTCAGGTCTTCTCTATTTTAGTGTGATTTTCAATGATCATGGATTATAACAAATGTCTTATTGATAACAGAATTACAATTTTAAAAGTGTAATTTAAAAATTATGTGAATTTCAAATTCAATCAGATGTTTCTGTTTTCATCATGTTTTCCAACATTTACTCCAAAGAACAGTAATGAAGGAAAGAATATGTTAAAACCACACTCTTATAGATCATCTCTAAAATGCTCAATATTCTCCAGATAGATGATGATGATAGATAGATAGATAGATAGATAGATAGATAGATAGATAATTTTTCACATAGAATATTGCTGCATTGGCTTGGTTATAGGTCATAGAAAATTTCTGATAATGTAACATTGTATGTTTATTTATTACCTGAGTAATTTATATTTGTATTCATTAACATGTACATTAGGCTGTAATGTTCAATGGTTTAAGAAACAAATAGGCCATAATATTAAATGGTTTAAGAAAATCATCAAAGACTGAAGAGGTAGTTCAAGGCTCATGTGGCAGCTCCACATAACTGGAAACCCCAAATCCTTCTTCAGTGTTACTTCACCACCCATTGCCCGTCTTCAGTTGAAGATTGGAAGATGGCTCACCACCATAGAGCTACAGGGTCCTCAATTTAAGCTTGGAAAAGTTGGCGGGGGAAGGGGGGATGGCATGTAAAACAGAGCCCGCCCTTTTGTTAAAGGCACTATTAAGAAATTGTTCACATAACATATCTTTGGCCAGACCTTGGTCACTGAGCCACTCTAAACTACAAGATAATTAGAAACTTTTGCCTTGATTTTGAATATTAACATGCCAACCAATAATTTGTATATTCTGTTACTAAAGAAAAGGAGAAATAGATATTAGGGACATCTGCAAGTCTCTGCCAGACTTTGAACAATTTTTAGTATTTAAACGAAGTTCAGTCTTACTGTTCCTGGAAGAAGCAGAAAATGCCTTGTCTTTTATTAGCCAAAACACCTGATCCCAAACAATGGAACAGCAGTCCACCCCAGGAGATATGAAATCGACTTCTGTTTTAATTATCTGACAGATTATTCTCAGACCAGCATATTCTCATCTCAAATCCAGAAACGTCTGACTGAAAAAAATCTGGGTGTCATGGAAGCCTGAATTCTGTGCCCACTATTCATTCTGCAGAGAAATGAGAGCAAGCTACAATAGGACACATGATTTTATGTTGAAGATAATGCAGGAGGAGAGAACTTCCTCTCTTTTGCCTGATAGATCATGAACCACACAGACTGAGAACAAGAGAGGTGATATAAATGATCAAAAAACCTGCCGCTTTCTTTGGACTCTGAGTGTGTGATAAGCTGAAGCCCATGTACCTAATTAGTGGCAGATGGAATGGCATTTATGTAGTCTGATTCTCAGTTAGGTGTTTTTCCCTTCATACCAAAGTGCCTCCAAAATGGCAACCTGTATCAATAAAAACACAATGAGAATGCTCAGGTTATTATATTGATAATCCAAAAAATCCCATCGGGGGAGGAGAGTTGAGAGTAAATATCCAGTGAATAGTAAAGAGGCTTATACTTTTCGGCAATATACAATTTATGAGAACAGGACTGTTGTATGTTTTGTCTACACTATCCCTGTCATATATTAGGCACTAAAAAAATCTGTGGAATTAATGAATAGATTTGTTTCATACAACCACCAGTCTCTACCTCAAGCTCAAACTTTGCAGACTCTGTGAGACAGCTCTTGATGGACCAGAGGCAGCAGAGTGCAAGAGCAAAGTACTTGAGGGTGGCCTCCCAATCAGGCCCCAGTAGCCAGAGTACAGCTGGGCCCCCCTCCTCCATTGGAGCAGAGTGGACCCCTCTAATCACAAGCACACACCAAGCATTCAGAGTTTTCTCCCAGAAACATGTCCCTTGAACGTCTAAAGATGTTTTATTTTCCCTGCTGCCTTCTTCTCCCAATCTTTTCCATTTCTCTTTAGAAACAATAATCAGCTTGGTCCTTCTCCTCTCTTACCACACCCAGAAGATTTAAAAAATAGAAAAATTTCTTAAAGTAATGAGTAATTCAACACTGAAACATTCTCTGGTAATTCAGTATGACCAACAGTCCCCTGATCATATGTTGCATCCTACCAACCCAACTGTAAAATTCCCAGTTCACCAGAGAAGCTTGTGATGGACTAGAAAAAGCAAACTGTCAAAGCATTGTGGATCTACCTCTATTCCAGAAAGAAAAAATGAAAGAGATGAGGGCAAAATAGGAAAAGACAAGTAACGTACATTGATGGTGCTTCTATAATAATAGTAAGTCAAAACTGTTGAGTATTTTGCAGTTAAGACAATTCCATGGTACACATAATTAAATTGAGACAAATATTCCTAAGTGGATTGTTTAATATCATGCAATTTATACATTTTATAGCATGGAACTAGACTGAAGTCCAAAAATGTCATGTTCTTGTCAATACATCATGCTACCTTTTAACAGATCAACATGAATTCTGAAATACTATATCTTCTGTGGATCCACTGAAAGAAACAGTTGTTTAAAACTGTGGTATTGTTGCCTAATAATTTATCACCTGATAGATGTTACAGTAATTTAATAAGAATAATATGCTAAAGTTCATGAATAGCTACTTTTTCCATTCTGCAGGCC